GATGACATTGTGGACACCATCACATGGGTCAATAATCTCAGTCCTATGGATCAAGTTTTACAGACATCGATAAACTTTCCTACAAGCCTAAAAACCTCAGTTCATTTGTCATCTCCACTTGAATTCATCAGACTTTAATCCATTTCTCCAAAAGCAGCACATTTTTTTCCAGGAACTCGATCTGAGTGTATTCAAAGAGGGCCATGCGTCTCTTGTGCCTACTAATCCTTTGTTCTTTCTTTCAAGTCATACATTTGGTGTTTAAAAGATCCTCTGTGTTAACCTGCAGCATGCTTGGGCGGAGTAGATGTCAGAGGAGTGTGAAAGATAGAAGCAAAGGACGGGACAGAACACTACAGTATAGGCCACACTCGTAAAATTACTGCGGAATTTTCTAGTTGTTGGAATGCATTAAGCGTTCAGCGTTCAGCTTCCAAATCAGCTTTCAAGCAACCCAAAGATGTAGATGCAGAGAAAGAAGGCAGGAAGAAAGAGGATATGACACATGACACACCTACTTTGCTGATATGGAGGAGAAATCCGCACGGCTGGATCATTGCTGTAGTCTCCTAATGACTCCACCTGGATCAAAGCAGTTACTGGGGCTGCTTTATGATTACATTACATGTCATTTAGCTGACGCTTTTATCCAAAGTGACTTACAATAAGTGCATTTCAAGCCAATTTACAACTTGCTATAGCTAAGAGCCATTATAAGTACGATTAAGTGGTACAATTCATTAAGTGTTTTTAGTCATGATATAGACTGAAGAGTTGTGTCTTTAGTGTGTGGCAGAAGATGTAAAGACTCTCTGCAATCCTGATGTCATCAGAGAGATCATTCCATCATTTAGGAGCCCGGATAGCAAAGGGTCGTGATCTTGTTGAGTGCTTTGCTCTCAGCGGGGGAGGAACAAGCCATTTGGCAGATGCAGAGCGGAGTTTGCAGGTTAGGATGTAGTGTTTGACTATTTCCTGGATGTAGACTTGAATCGATCCTTTCACTGCATGTTACGTGAAATCCAATGTTTGGATGCGGGCAACCACTGGTAGCCAGTGAAGAGAGCGGAGTAGTTTGGGGGAATTTAGGCAGGTTAAAGACCAGTCGAGCTGCTGCATGCTGCATGAGCTGCAGAGGTCGTAGAGTTTTAGGAGGGAGACCTGCCAGGAGATAGTTTATGTGTACGTGTAGGGGGCAGTATCAAGCCAAAATGCATTTAGGAAGCATTGAAATCATATGAAGTAACTACATCTTTAACTGTAAATGTGTTTTCCAAGTTTAGTAAAGATTGGAGCATACTTTGTCCCTCAAAAGGACTTCTGCTTTGACCTTGAATATCAGGTTTCCACAGCAACAGCGTAACACGAAAAGGTTTTAAGAACTTTAAATCACCAAGGCCTTAAGACTGTTTTGTCTTCAAAAGTATAGCTTCTATTATATGCGAAAAGTAGAGGGAATATTCAAACAAAATAATTATAACTGCCTTCCTGTTCCTTTTAGAGCATGGTCCCAAGCAGGGCTGTAGTGGAGGGTAAACGCACGTAAACGCCGTTTACGCACCTCTAAGTGGCGTTTACGCACCTCAAAGTTCCCTGCGCCTTGTATTCTTCCGTTGGAATAATCCGAAATAAACTTGGTGTAATTTTAAAACAGCTAAGACTACGTTTCCTACATTTAGGGAGTGCCAGCCTGACAACATGGCTCCCCGGGGCACCAGAGCCATGTTGTGGTGTCTCGGTGCCTCGTGGAGCCACCAGGTGTCAGTGTGGGGTGGTGGGCAGGGCTGTAGTGGAGGGTAAACGCACGTAAACGCCGTTTACGCACCTCTAGAATTTTGGAAATAGCGTTTACGCACCTATAAATAGCGTTTACGCACCTCAAAGTTCCCTGCGCCTTGTATTCTTCCGTTGGAATAATCCGAAATAAACTTAATTGTAATGTAATGTAATTTTAAAACAGCTAAGACTACGTTTCCTATTGTTGAACATATAAACGCTGTAATCTGAATCCTTTTCATCTGCGCTGTATTATGGTCTGTGACCATCCAATCAGTGCCTTGCGGCTGCAGCAGCGACGCCAATCAGGATCCAGGAGGTGTGTAAACACATACACGTTGTGGATCAGCCTGCCTGTCTACCTGTTCGGAATGTTTAATATTTGTGTGCGTGCACTGACATTTAATTTTCTAAGTACGACACGTACCAGTGAGTTTCTTTTAGTCGGCGCTGTATGCGTCCATCTTTATTAGTGCATATTTACTTCTGCGCATAAACGCGCACTTTGATGACCTCATCACAACATGACAGACATTTGAACCGGAAGTATCCAAGATACTACAGAATGGATTACCGCCGATAATTAGCAATGGATATCAGGTAATATTTGTAGAGACCATTGAGTGCTCCCACTCCCACAGATGCCCGCAAAAGGCCTCAAGTACTAAGTAAGACTAAAGATCAATTCACGGTTTTAAACGTTGTTTTGGTTCGCACAACATCGCATTAAGACAGGGACAAACGCTACTAATAACGTGCTTTCAAAGATGCAGGTAACAAGCCAGCCTTCCCGATCCCATCTAAATAGGACTAATAAAATGAGGAATTATCCTCACACATATTGCTGCAGATTAGGCTAATTCATTGAAAAATTGTCAACAGATTATGTGCAAGCCAGTTAGACATAGGTAAGAGAAATGCTAAGTGAAATGTTTTAGTTTAGCTATAGAATCTTCAAATTTCGCGGTCAAAGTCAAATATATTAGTTTTTTACTTCCATGATGACATCATGTCCTGCTCTCGCATAGAAAACGTGAGCGGGGAGCAAAGCTGTTGCTTCACTGAATAGGCCTATATGCTTAATCAATCATTTGAAGTCATGAAAGGTGTAGAGTAGCCTGTAAGCGAAATACACTGCAAACATAGATTATTTGAAAACAAGTCAGTTCTCAATGTGAAAAAAAACATGCTGTATAGGCTATTTATGATGACATAGTACATGAGTGTTTCTTTAACCTATGTTGTCAGTGTAATTGACAGGCTGCTTAACTGGTTAACTCTTAAATTCAACATATTTTTTCAGGCAGCGATAGGCGACAGGCAATGATGCAGAGAGCACAGGGAGAGGAGAAACACCAGGTTGAATAGAGAGAGGAGAACGGCTGATGAGAGAACGAAATCATGACAGTGGAGAACCAAAGAGTGGAGAAGAGGAAAGGGGAGGAAATGAAAGAAGACCAACAGAGAATGAAGAAAAAGAGAAAGGGGAGACAGAGAAAGAAATGAAAAAGAGGGAGGAGATGAAGAAACAGGTAGTAAGAGAGGAGTAAGAGAAGAAACAGGGGCAGGAGAGATGGAGAGTGGAGAATCCACACTCACCAGAAGTTAGAATCTGAAGTAGAGGGAGATACAGAGGAAGAAGAATCTGAGACTGAAGACACAGTGAGAGGAGAAATAGCGTTGCATCGCGTCGAGGTCTGTATGATCACAAAATTCAGCCCACCTCTAATTTTACCACTAAAGCACTGGTCCCAAGAGACTTTTTTTATGTCTCCCTATTATACATATGTCCAAAAATTGTCTTTCATGTAGGTCAAACAGGGCGCTGGGGCTACTTCATTGAAAACTGCCAGGGGGAGCTATGGAGGGGATTGAGCATTTTTGAGTCAAAACTCCACATCAGCTCTTTAATGTCATCACATAGGACACTGACAGAAGTTTTCAAGAGTTTTTGAGACAGTGTCGTCACGGCAACACGGTTTTTCAAAAACTCCCAATATTCACTGTGAACTATCATCAAAGCCTTAAGGTTTATATGCTAGGATTTGAGGTTGATCGGATCGAAGTATAAAACTTTAGCATTTAGCTAAATTGGCGCTATCGTGGGCCGTTTGGTACCAGGCCGCACCACAGAAAGTTTATATATAGATATTTTCTGAAAATTGTTTTATTTTGAAAATTGACCAGATTTTCTCCTAATTATGTGTGCTCGAATCTGACATATTCCCCACGCGTCACCAGGTGTTTTTCTTGTCCTAACCGTGCACGGCAGTTTTGCCGACCAGCGAACACAGAGCGCGCGACTACTACACCCCCCGTCGGTCATTCCGCCCGCAACGACTACTACACCACCCCCCCCGTCGGACCTTCTCGACCGGTCTGCGAAATATTGTCTGACATGACCGGTCCGTGAGGTAAAAATGGTCGGGGACCACTGCTTTAAGGCGTAAAGTGACCATTGGATATTGGCAGCAGTTAACTATTTTTGTAGTAGCCTACTTGTAGTTGCTCAATAGTTATAATAGTTTCCTCTTGTGTAACATAATATTTTCCACTTGTGTAAAATAAGTAGCCTAACTGAATTGTATTGCTAGGGCTCAATTTTGTATGGACCTGTTTGGAGACCTGAGAGACTCTGGACACTTTAATGGCAGCCATGAACATCAGGACATACTGAGATTCTGCTTCATTGATGTTCTGCAAACAGACCTGGATGAGTGCACGGACCTCTGGAATAAGCACAGGATTAGGCCCTCCAGACTTGCATCATGTCCTGGGGGAATTCCAGACGAACTCAATCTCTTGCCTCACAGGTAATTCCATATCGACTGACAATAATTTGACGTCATCCATTCTTACACAAATATGTGTATGAAATAATAACTTGCACCACACTGGAATTACATTTGGGTCTAGTCATGTTTTCCCTTTATGATGAATTATTGTGTCACTATGCAGGTGTGGTTCAAGGGACTGTGGATTGGCCATTGAAGACAGGGAACTGGATACATTTCCAGAGTCAAAGCAAACTCTTTATCCATGCAGGGATCCAGACATGCAGGATTATCTTCAACAGACTGTTGAGCAAAATGGATTACAGCAGCCACATGATTGGGAGTCAGCCTCAGAACTATATGTCACCTTGAAAGAGATAGCTGGCCTATAAATATGGTCCACTGCAGCCCATTCTTAAAGGCCAGGTGTTAAAGGAAAACATTCTCAAATGTGGCTTAGCTGTTTATTGATGATCAGGTTCACTTAAGTAAAGAACGGCAATAACAATCATTCAAAAACTTGGAACTGAACTGAGCATGCACTCTTTGTATGCTTTATGAACTGCATGTTCAAAGACATGACAAAAATCCAGACATGGCACAGAATTAAATGCACCCAAAGCCTGGAGGGTTCTGTAAGTCAAACTCCATGTTTGTCTTAAAGACACTGTAGGTTTCAAGGAGAGGGAGCTTCAGTCTATTTGCACAAGTGTTTGACATGGGAAATGGTGAATTTCTTGAGAACTCGATGGCTGTTTTTTTGGTGTTGATGCGAGCCCTGTAGCAAACATCAGCACATCCTCCAGGGACACAGCAGTCTCCTTTTCAGAGTGTCTGAGTGTCTTTATCGTCCAACAAGTAAATTAAGTTAACACAGTGTGAAAAAAAAGGTTCACTTTTTACAAACACCATATAAAAAAGCTATCTGCCCAAAAGCCAAGGGCTTTGTCTTCTTTCTGCCGACTATTACTTCCTGTTGGACTGAGCAGTGGTGTGAACAGGCTTTTCATGTCGGCAGCTGTAAGGTTTGTCTGAGAGTGGCACAAGAGTGGGGCCAACACACACGGATGCTGCTGGAGTGCGGAAAGGAACAATTACCATATGGTTTTAGTTACCCTGGTAACTATACCAGAGTTAAAAGTTACCAGTCTTCCTGGGACTGAAAACTCAAAACACTCAACCGACAAACAAGCTTTTCACTAAACATACTTTACCATTTGTGAATGTCAGACAATCTTATTTGTAGCCACTTTTAAAGTATTCAAGTGATAAGTCATGGGACTGGAAAGTATGTGATTGAAATATTTTTGATGAATGGAGGCAGAGGATGAGTCTTTTAGGACTATTACCTTTGAATAACACTCTGGTTTCTGTGTAGAATATACCATCTGAGGTATTCCTCCACAAGAGTTTGCTGGTCCTCAGAGGTCTTCACATGGAGGAAGTATCCAGCAGTCTGGAACATGCGCTGTTTTGCAAAAGAACATTTTGCATGGAGATTCCACAGATTCTGCTTCCTGGACCTGTTAAAAATACTTTGTAAGACTTAAACCCTAGAGAAACCCTAACCTGATAGGGTAAGAATATTTGCAATGGTCAGTCAAATAAACAGAAAAAAACAAAACAGGGATCAAAGTATTTTTTACTTAAATGTAATGTCTTTCTGATAGAAGTGGATATGAAACTTCCGGTTTGTTCATTTCCCTATGACCTTACTCTAAAATGTATCTAATGTGCTATCTTAGTAAACACACTGCTTGAATCAAGGTCACGTCATACCTGATGCAGAACTCTCCCTATCTCCTCATCTGTAATATCTTCCACAGTGGCACCAAAACTGGGATTCCCTACTATGTGGTTAACAACGTCCTTTGACAGGAAATGTGGTGCTAGTCCTCCGTGTACTATCGACACAGCAATGATCTTTCCTGCCAGGACATTTTCATTTTCCCTGACAGCTGTCATGCAGAGTACAAAAAATGACAGTTAATGGCCATCTCCATCTGTTAATAGCGACTTTCTGTTAGATTTAGGCAGGTGGTGATCCAGGTGACATGACCCCATTATTTTTCCATTCTGAATTTTTTTTTAAGATTCTATGTATGGCCAGAAAGTTTAACAAGACTAAAGGGGTCGTGTACAGCCTCAACCCTTATTTTAAAGTGCTTAAATTTGGCAGAAAGTGTGACTTAATGTACAACAAAAAAAATACTTCAAAATATATTGACAAAAAGAAATTCCATGAAAAATAGACACCTGTACAGTTGTACACCAGGTAACGGCTTTCTGGAGGTCCGTCAAAGATCATTCATCAGAAGCGTGAGGAATTCCCGCCTCGGTCCGCCAGTATCTACACCTTCTTCATGGGAGCCAGCATCATCGGTAAACTCCACAAACATGTCATTCTCCTCGGAGTACGTGCAACGCTGAAAACCTTTAGATTAGATCTGGACACGGTGAATCTGCTGACTTTGCTGTGGTCCATGGGAAGCCCCAAATTTTCAATTATTTCAGGTGCACTTGTATGCCTAGAACAAAAGTAGAAATGTTACATTGTGTGTAAAAAAAGATGCTCCAAGCAGAATTGTATAGCTTATTAGATGAACACAAATGGGATCAAGCCTTCCTTTCATTCAATATTCATAAATTGTACTCAGAACACTTTTTGACTCCTTAGGAGAGTAGGCAGTTAATAAAACAATAGGCTACATTTAATACATTCAGTTCCTTACAACAAGACATGTCTAGTTTTTCAACAACAGTTTTTCTCAGTACAGTACCGTATTTTCCGCACTATAAGGTGCACCGGATTATAAGGCGCATAAGATACTGCAGTCAAACGTCAGGGTGGGGGGGGAGGTGGAGACGATCGATTCAGGGTCCGATCGATGCTGCGAGGTGCGTCTGCTCCCCCCTCGCCATCCACGCCTTAAATCTTCGGCTGCCCTCCAGCCGCGCCGCCTGCCAAGGCCTCCTTTTAGAATAACTTATTTTCACCGTCCCTCGCTCTTTAATCTCATGAAGTGCTCGGCAAGAACGACACCTTTGTTTCTCCGACGCGCCCTAAAACAAGCTCCATATCTCACGCGCTTGAGCGCCCGCTCAGCATCTCGCCGTCGTCAAGGCACACTTAAGACAAAGAAAAAATCTCACGGCACACCAACCGGAAATGATATGAAAATCAATCCCAAACATAGTTTCAGCATGAGCATAATATACTCTAAGAAATCAGGGAAACGCGTGTTCTATTTGTTGTGTTTTAAACTTAACATCATCCTAATGCCAAGATGGCACAGGCTTTATGCCCAGGTATCTCTTAAGCCGGATTCATGCTTCTGCGTTTTCAGAGCGACGCAGACCCCCTTGCGTGTCCCTTGTGTCGCTTTTCACACCTCCTTGCGTCCTTGCGTGTTTCGAACCATTTTCTAGGCTGCAACGCAAGCCTCCCGCAGCGCACCAGGCTGCGATTGGTCCGCTAACTACGTCCTTTACGGAGTCTCACATTTCCGCTTTTATAGCCCGATACCGCCATTATTAAAACGAAGAATGTTTACGAGAGAACGGAGCAGATTTAACAACTTTTGTCGGAAGAAATGCGTAAATACGACGGCTTGTAGAAGCGGGTTGGATTCACGGAGGGAGATCTCCGCAAACGCCGGTTTGCCGGTCGAGAGGAACAAAGTTGTGGAGGAAAATACGGGACAAATGTGTCCGCGATGAAAAGCAGCAGTGGCAATGCACGGGGCAATAAAGTCTATGATAAATAAATAAACAAATAAATAAATAGACGTGACTCTCTAGGTCGTCTTCAACAAAACACGTCACTCCGCCTGTTGTTCTGGCGGTGAATTGCTCTGCAACACACGCAGAACCATGAATTGAAACGAGTGTAGCATGCGCCGGCCTTAAATCTCACTTTTTTAAATTGTCGCCTCAGCAAATCTGCCTATTAATTAGGCTGCGTACCGCCACCCACAGGCAGAGGGGAGTATTGAGCCTTCATACCACCAACAGCGCGACGACACAAACACACAAGTTGGCTCTTTTTTTTTCACCAATGAAGTGACGGTATGTAAAAAATGATTTAAATAAAATGAACAAAATGATTTAAACTACACAGACCTGTATGCGCTTATTGTCATCAATGACAATAAGCGCATACAGGTCTGTGTAGTTGCTGCAAAAAGAAAATATGTACACAAAATACAATATAATGAAACATACCGTGCATCTTCTTATCAGTAATCAAGAGTGTTAAAGGGGTCATTGATTGCAAAACCGATTTTACCTTGTCATAGTTGAAAAACGACAGCTCGGTGGGTAAAATGGACATACAGTGAACCTCATTGATACATTGTCATTAATCCATCCATTGATACCTCTTTCCTATCTAAATCTCACAACTTGAAACTGCAGCTGTAAAACGATCGGTTTCGAAAAGGCTGAATTTGTGACGTCACAAGTGTAGCATCGCCTTTGTCAACCCCCTACCTGAAGTTACATACAGACCAGCCCTCTGGTGTTCTGGCCCAGGATCTCAGACACTAGTTTAGCTGTGCGCTGCTTTGTGTACTTCCACGGGAATTTACAAAGGAGCTAGTCAGGAAGTTTTTTAAAAGGATATTCAAAATGGACCTGGGCCATTTTCAGCCCAACCAATGTTACTGAACATACCCTTTTCAGAGACCTTAAAGAACAGTGTGAAATACCCTTAAAACCCAGTCAATGACCCCTTTAATATTTAATATTCTAGAATATTTAAAACAAAAGCCCAAAACAAAACCTGTAATATGTTCTCGCCATTCCAGGACATCCGGAGGTACTTGGACGGATATCCTCTGTATGAGTCTGTATTGGAGTGCTTTCATGCACAGGTTCACATGGCTGTAGTAAAGCATTAAAAAGACAGTGGGGTTGATCAGAACTTAACACAGCAAACAAAAGACAACGTTTTCATTTAAAAAAAAGCATACAATAGAAAACAAAACAATATGCTTTACATAGCACTCACCAACGTGTCAGCCAGGTCAAATGTTGGGAGGGGTCTTTTTATCACAATCTCTGTGTCAGAAATGTCGGACACTTTCCCAACTGCAAAAACGAAACAATTAAAGTTAGCTTGATTGGTGTCAGTCAAAGACAAACATTTAAAAAGAAAGTCCAGAAGAAAGTGATGAATGGAAAGCTGGTTTGAGACATTGCACCAGAAACAGTTGTTTTTTTTATGCATCTACAACTCCAACTTGCAACTCCTTGCAGTAATTTGAACATGAATGCAGACAACACCATGGGGAACTATTTTTAAACTTATTTACCTATGTATCAGAGGTGAAACATCTAGCCACAGAAATAAATGGATATGGAAAAACATGACAACTTACCTTCTTCAAAGTCCTTCTTTGGGCAGATAAAAATTGTGGTCCTTGCACATGGTTTGCCTAATTCTGCTTGATATTGTTCTAGGATAAAAGGTCTTTGTGTCCCAGGGGTATTGATGACTTCAGATGCATCTGCATACAGAAGGATAAAGGCTCCTTCATCCAGGTCTGGGTTGAAGTCCCTTATTTTCTTCACACTCTGATGAAGAAGACTTTGAGCGGTGACGTCAGAGACGGTTGATAAGGGAATGGTTTTCCCACGTGAGGGCTTTAAAACACCCTTCTGAGCAGTCATCAAGCCAAGATTAATCTGCAATAGAAAAAACACAAACTGGTAAGGGGGGTCTTCATCTGGGTTAAAGAACAGTGCTTAAAAATGTTGTTGTTTCTCTGTTGGAAAATGTTACACATAGACCCCAAATGGATCTTTCTTTCAAAATGTGACTCAAAGGAGAGCAACCTTAATCCTTCCTTCAATTCCTAGTAAACAGCAGTTTTGGAAGGCCCTTTTGTAATAAAATTAATCAAAATTAATTGATCTTTGTCAACTAACAGGTAATAATCTTTTTCTATTCATTTCCACAGAACAAATCAATTCATATTCATAATCAGGAATCAGTTGAAAGGTCAAATATGTCCAACAGATAAACTCAGGGAATGTTGTTTGAGTGAATTGACCACAATACAGAAACCTATTTTTAACATTTACATATTTAATGTCCGAACATGACTTGAAGCAAAACTATATTATTTGCCATTAAATTGACCCTACCAGGGGGTTTAGGTATAGGGTCCAAATGATGATGGGATGTCGACAGCAAGTCAACACTGAAATAATTATTTGCTTTCACTCTGAGCTATATCAAATCACATTTGCTTACCTGCACTTTCCTTTTTTCCTTTTTCTTATCCCACATTTTGCCAAAGGAAAACTTTTGCCTTTCCTCTCCTTTTTTCATCCAGTATTCCAGAAAGGTTTTAAATCTTGGGGTTGAGTTGGATGGAGCATTCTGTGATACTACAGGGAAGCACAACATGCATTCTTATAAAAAGGCAAAGCATACATTGCAGGTTCATAGAAACAAACAAAATAAAACACATGGCTGAGGACACGGTTTCCTTGACAGATATCTGATCATATCTCATTATCACCTTGATCATAAATAATTGACTAAATATCTGAATGGCAAAGGGGGAGGGGGGCAGTTACTTCAGTTTTAGGCAGGGATGTTGTGGTGCCAACACGATAGTTCAAGGATTATAATACGCAAATATACATAATTAACGTGATATGTCCGTGCTAACAGCAAAGATATGTATTTTTTAAACTAATGTTTCTTGTCATCTAACGTTAATTCAATGGAATTTGGAATGTATAGCTAGCGTGGTCAGGCATGACATTTACAACAGGCAGGGGAAACCCACCATTACCTTCAAATAAGGTTACGTTAACTTACCTGAAGTTGGTCCATCGGTGGGTTGAGCCAAAGACTCCAGACTTTTTCCAAGTATCTGTCCACAACCACTGAAAAAAATCGGCTGGTTCAACGACAACTTTTGACCACAATTATGGCAAAACATTGTTTTTATTGCCATATTTTTACGCCAAATGAAGGTCTAGCAAGCGAGCGAGTCCTCATTTCCTGTTGACAGACAGATCAGAAGGGTCCATCCTCTGCTATAAGGTCCTACACTTTCCGTAAGGAGTTAATTTCGTTGTTGTTTCTTATCTATCTTTGCGTTTTCCTATTTGCCGTGGTGGTTTCCCATTTGTCGTTGTGTTTTCCTATTTGCCGTGGTGGTTTCCCATTTGTCGTTGTGTTTTCCTATTGGCTGTTGTGGTTTCCCATTTGTTGTTGTGTTTCCCTATTGGCTATTTTCCGTTGTGTTTTGCACTTCATGGCCACCGTAGTTTTTAAATCCAAAATGCGATGGAAATCGCAAAAAACAAGCAAAAAATCAGAGAACGACTGCAGCCCCCTCTAAAGTTCTTCTGAAAAAATCAGGGTATGCTCAGGGACTCAATGTGAACATGTGCTAGAAATTTGGTGACGACTGTAGTAGTTCACATATACTACGGTAATGTTGGCCATAGTATTAAGGTAATTACGGTATCTGTATGAGCCACTTCACTATCTGTATACCGGCATTCGAGTTATAAGTAAACGGCAAGCAGACGTATCTTCTCCCTGTCTCCGTGTGCCCTTCCTTCACCTACAAATATTACAGTGGCGACGAGGTAACAAAGTGAATCCACATCAGTGATGAAAACTAAAGGTGTTTGATGAGTATAACTTCTCCTAAATGCAAGATTTCCCATGTTTTCTGGTTCGGAAGAAACCGTAAATGCTAGCTGCTGGAATCGATGCTAAGCAAGGCACAACATTTGAAAGTGCAAGAGCGCCCTCCTGTGGTGAGGGACTGTAACAAAAAGGGAAAATGGGGTTCAAGACAAAAAGGA